CTCCCCCCCAATACTGTCTTTATAGTTTATGTTTTAGTTTTAATAGTGGAACTATTCCAGTTCAGGATGCATTAGGGTAAAGAATGGACAGTGAAGTGGAAGAATAGTTCTTAAGTTCTTTCTTTGTCCACACAGCCATGTCTGGACAGGACATAGCAGAAATTTATACACACACATACACATTTGAAAAGTCAGTTGTAGTTCCAATTGTACCATACAGCAAAGAAGGAATGCTTTTGTACTGCTAGGAGCCTTACGTCTGGAAGCACTCTGTGTTTTCAGAGGCTGTGTGTCAATCCAGTTGAAATCCATGGATCTAAAGCAGCTTAGCTCTGCTTAGAAATGCAATTGTAATGGTAGCCCTTACAAAAGGATTAAGTCAAAAGATGTTAAGGCTTCCATCCACTAAGACTAATTTAAAATCTCACTGTACTTAATTACACTCTATTTAAAAAGAGATTCTATGAAAAACCTGTCAGGAAGAAGTGAATAATGCTCCCATCACCAGCTTCCCTCAATTTACAGAATGAATTAGCAGAAGCCAAAGATTTATATGCGAAGTAATTCAAATGTCCCTATCTTAACTTTTTGTGATATTTAAATGAGCACTGTGCAATAAAGTATCTCAAGAATCACAGCTCACTCTTTCACAATCAGACCGCATATTACAATTTTAGACATGTTTCAGACATGTTATGATCTCAGGAAAAGTACAGGAGTCTGGCCAAAAATCACACACACACAGCATTATTTCTTTCTCATTTTCTTTCATGTTAAATGACCAAGGGGTAAAACTGATTGCCACTATGCTCAGTCCCTTCATTGAGTTGACAAAGTTGAGGCAGTCATAAGATCTATGGAGGACAACTCATGCCTAGGCTAAAGCTCTAAAAAAAATTGCATTTAAAAATAAATAGGCTTGTTGATGGCCCATCATCTGTGACAGGGGCTGCATCCATATTGCAGAAATAATCTAGTTTGGCACCACATTAACTGCCATAGCTTATGGCATGGAATTCAGGGAATTGTACTTTTGTGAGACATTTAGGATCAGTGTAGATACACCCTGAGTCTTCAGTGTTGTACCTCAAAACTGAAGCATGTTAAATATCTCTTGCTAAGTGCCTGCCATTTTATGAAGAAGCACTCTTACTCATGTTCTCTGGGAAGGTTTATTAAGACAGAGGCTCCATCTTCACTATATATATAATCCAGTTTGACACCACTTTAACTGCCATTGCTCAATGCTGTGGAATTCTGGGACTTGTAATTTGTTGTGGCACCAGAGCTCTCTGACAAAATACAATTCCCAGAATTCCATTGCACTGCATCATGGCAGTTAAAGTGGTGTCAAACTGGATTATTTCTGCAGTGTGGATGTAAACAGTCCTATCTCACTGTGTTTCTGATGGCATGGTGTTCTGTAATCATGTCTAGCTGAAAGAAATCATAGTTCCTTCTCAGATCTTTTCTGTCAAAACAGGAAAGTTGAGAGTGGCTGTAGCAGCACATATCCTATCACTCACTGATAGGAACACCTGAATAGGGCTTGTACAGAAGGGCAGGAGTCAAACTGTCAGCTACATAGGACTGGTCTTGCCATTAGTCAGAGTGAGACAGCTATCTTAGGCAGCAGATTTGTCATGTTATTAATAGTCATCAAACTGTTAGCATTGTTCATATTGTATTTTCAATGCTAGATACATATATACCACAATTAATGAAGTAGATGTGTTCCTGGACATTACTTCTTTAACGTAAAATTTGGTGTCAGAGGCAGACAGAAGGACAGGTTCCAATACCACAAAAACGAAACCACAAAACCATGAAAACCAAGAGCAGTTCAACATGTTTCACCAGTTTTGATTTTAAACTAACAATATGAACATGTGAAATGAAGCAACTAGGTCAGATAGAATTCAGAGACACAGCTGTGTTAATCTGAATATATGCATGCAAAGGGATCTTGTAGCACCTTTGAGACTAAAACTGTGCAAAAGAAGTTGTAATCTAAGCTTTCGGAGACTTCATCTAACAGAAAAAAACTGAACCTCTTAGAGACCATTTGAAAGTTCATTTTAAAATATATCCAAGGATATTTTTATAATAATCATAATATTAATCATAGTAATCATATTTATTTATAACACCATTTTCCACCAAAGAGCACAACATCAAACATATACAGGCAGAAACAAAGACAATAAAACACAACATTGGGGGGAAGCAGACGAGGGCCTCTGGGACGCCACGGGACGGTGCACTGCGGGACCAAGGCATCCGCACCGCGGCGCACCGTTGGCACCCCTGAAAGGAGCGCTAAATCAGCGCTCCTTTCACAAGTCAGTGAAAGTGCACCCCAAAAGCGTAGGCCGCACTTTCACTGACTTATCCGCCACAGCGTGTACGGACGCTGCAGCGGGAGGTTACCCTCGGAGTGTTGGCTGTGTGGAGGGCCAGCTGCTCCGAGGGCAACCTCGGGAGGAGGAAGGGGCGCCGAGTGTGTGGCTGCCCCTCCTCTTCCCTGCCTTGGAGATGGCTCTATTAGCCATCTGCCAAGGCCCATTGTCAATATATAAAAATATGCCAACATCCCACTAGTCACCCAGCAACCTCAGGCACAACTCAGCAGCTGAGGAAGGTCTTCAACCTTTTACTTTTTCTTTAATCAGTCTCCATTTTCCTTATGGTTTCCATTTTGGTGGCTATACTTACAGATTTCTGCTTTTTAAATGTAGTGTGTATGCATGAGGTGGTGGTGGCATCTTTCCTCTTTCCACTTTCCTCTTTTCTCTCAGGTTGCATCCACACTGCAAAAATAATCCAGTTTGACACTACTTTAACTGCCATGGCTCAGTGCTATGGAATTCTTACCAAATTACAAATTCCAGGATTTCATAGGAAGAATCCTTGGCATTTAAAGTGGCATCAAATTGTTGTAAGCATGAAACTGTGAAAGAGACTCAGTAGCTAAAGGATTAAACTTAGATGAGAAGAGTCCTAGATTCAAGTCCCTCCTCATCCATGAAGCTTGCTAAATCCCAGGAGCTAAAAACCATTTCTTATATTTCCACTTCTGAAACAAAGCAGCTTATACTATAAGGTAAACCAATTTGCTTCTGTCCAAGTATGTTTATAAAAAATAGATGCAGGGGGGATTTAAGGGGAGTTAGGCTCACACTGGATGACATCTCAGAGAAGAGTGACTGTCTTCTGGTATGGAGTATATTGCCCTAACTCTCTATAGGTAGACTGGGACTCTTGGAGACTGAAGGTCCTGGGAAGGACCCAATAGACCCATCCAGAAGTACCAAGGAGGCCAGCCAGGACACTGTCAGCATGCCACAGCAAACTCCTGGAGGCCTCTTCCTTTTCAAAATGGTGCCTTGACCCTTACCCTTGTGAAAAAGACAGTTTGACTGGAACAACCCAGGACAAAGACAGTTTCTTGGAGTGCCCTGGTCCACCAGCCACTGGCACCAAGTAGAGTGGAGCTTTATCTTCTACAGTGGCTTGACCTATTCCTGAGGGACCATCAGCATAGTGGCTCCAAGGGTGACAGCATGAGTTCTCACACAGCGGTGATACCAACCCTAGTGATGCCACAGAATAGATGGATGTTTATGCACATATGTACATATATCCAAACAGAAAGAATGTGAATTCCTGCTGCCTAAGATGCATTCCAGCCTTGTCTTTCTTGCCTGGATGATGTCTTATTGCATTTGGTAAGGTGTGTGTGTGTGTGTAAGAAACAGCATGGTATAGCTTTTCACTATGGACTTTATGACATGGTGAATAAACATGGGAGCATAGCACTATGCTCCCATCAATATATGCAAAGATTTTCACATGACATCACATGTCATCGCCATTATCACACAATTATCCCATGAATAAAGAGGCATAATCACACCACTTTTTATTATCCCATGAATAAAAAGTGGCACAATTATGCCTCTTTATTCACAGGATAATCACAGAATAAGGGCAATTTCGCACAACATTGTGTGAAAATCTTCCTGTTATTGCCCGATATTGGGAGCATAGCGCTATGCTTCAATCTTTTTTCACCATGTGATAAAGTCCTAGGACTCTGAGTATAAGAGTTCAAATCTTTGCTTAGCCATGGAATTCCATTGGGTGATCTTGGGCAAATCACATTCTCTCATCCTAAGACGAGGGCAATGGCAAACTTCCCCTGAATAAACCTGGCCAAGAGTTCCCATAATTGGAATTACTTTGAAAGCCTATATCAACCAATAACATAGGGAGGGGAAAGATGTGAGCAAGAAAATGAGAAGGAATAGGTGGGACAAAGATTTCTTTTCAGAGCCAATTTGTCTTATAGTTTGCAATCCATACCACATAGACAGCCAGCATAGTGTAGTGGTTTGAGAGTTGGATTACAACTCTGGATGACCAGGTTCAAATCTCCATACTGCGTGACCCTGGGTAAGTCACACTCTCGAAGCTTCAAAGAAAGGTCATGTCAAGATACCTCTGAATAAATCTTGCCATGGAAACTTAATGCTAGGGTTGCCATAATCATACTCAACCTGAACTCAATAGCACTTAGTTGGAGTAGTCTGAGTACATCAGTATGGTCCTGCAATTACTGCTCCAGAAGAAGCATGGAGGCAATAGACCATTGCATCATGTAAGTTGCATACCCTGGTCATCTTATTTGACTCAATTCCACTTGGCTAGGGAAGTGAGACTGTGACTCTTGGTACAAAGGTTGCTGGTCCTCGAGAAGATTTCTTGGAAACAATCTAGTTGTGAGTCATGCAATATGTAGGTCTTTTCCCAGGAGTGTTGGGCCCCTGCCTGCCTCTATTTCCAAAGGCCACAACAATGTCTGGTGAAGGAGCCTTGGAAACATGTGGGCAGAATGTTCTACAGGGGTTGTGGTTTATTTGAAGAAAAATTACTTTTGTAATAACATGGATTGCTCTCCTTCTTAGTATTTAAATAGAGATTAATACAGATTATAGAGATCCAGCATGGTGTAGTGGTTAGAGTGTTGGATTAGGACTCTGGAGACCAAGGTTCGAATCCCTGTTCAGCCATGGAAGCCCACTGGGTAACCTTGGATAAATCACACTCTCTCAGCCTCAGAGGAAGGCAAAAGCAAACTTCCTCTAAACAAATGATAAGTTTGCTTTATGGTCAACATATGTCAAAAATGGCTTGAATGCACACAACAACAACAGTTTTACCATGGAGGGTCAGCATACAAATAACCAAGATGTTTATGATAACAATGCTGAGAGAAGACAGTTAGGTCATTTTAGATGCCTGAAGTGGGATTTCAAATGTGGTGGAACCCAAAATCCTGTGAAACTCTTAAATTCTTGCAGTTCTTAAAGGCATAGGAACTTTTTGAGGAGGAAAGGTGATAAAGGAAAAGGTTGATAACATACAATGAACACCTTGGCCCATTTTTGTGCATTTTTAAATTATGTACAATGATTCTAAGAATACTAAACATTCTGTTTTGAAAGCAAACTGGAAAAGAGTAGGAAAGGAGCACAGAGTGGGAAAGGAGCATTAAAGTTTCTGATCAACTCTTCCATGAATTTCCACATGACTTGTATAGTCAGCAAATAATCAGCAAAATATGCAACTTTTAATGTAGTCAAGTGAGCTATGCAACCCTGAGAATAAAACCCCTGGAACACAGTGAGAGTATGGAGGAGAATTGGGTGATGAAAAGGCTAAACAAAAGTCAGGGTGGAGGGGAAAACCCATGAGAGAGGGGGAAAGTGGACAGGAGAGAAGAGCAACAGCAGTAACATAAGGGTTTGTCACTCAGTGAAGAGGATACAGGCTGAATGAGTATGACTGTGGAGAGAGTAAGGTCAACTGGAAAGAAAAAGCTGAGGTCATTGGGAAAGACCATGAGCATATGCACTGGGCTGAGGGCAATCCTAATGCACTTTAACCCAGGCCAAGCTGGCACATCAGCTACTATGCAAAAATTCAACATAAACCAAGCACACCATATATATTTTTTAAAAAATCATTTGAAGGACATGGGTGGCAGCAGAAAGAGTCTAATTGATTTGACCCTAGGTTTGAAGCCAGCATTCTTGCCTCTGGGAAACATTGGCTGAGATCCCATGTCAAGTGGGCATAGTGTCATGCTTTGCCAATGGAATTCTGTGTCCTCTCCCTTTCCTTTGGGCTCAAGCCCCAGGAAGGGCCACTGTGGCTTCTCCTTACCAAGGGGGCAGAGGAGGGGGAAGACAATTCAGGCATGGAAGATGGAGCTGGTCCAGTCTAATGTGAGGAAAAGAAGGCACCATCCTTTGCTTTCCCCTTAGAACAAAGATCAACTGCTTATTCTTCCTCTGAATTGCTTCCCCTCACTTCCTTTTTCTTCCCCTCCTCTCCCCCTGATGAGCAGCACCATCCTCTCAGTCCCATAGCTATGCAGGGGGAGGTTTTGACAGGGCACAAAGGACAATTGCCCCCTGTGCCCCATCCAAAACAAAATGAAACAAAACACCACAGACACACATAAGTCATTAACCAGATTCTGCCCACTGAAACTCAACTTTCAGAAATATAAGCACTAGGGGGGGTTGGGGTGAGTAGTGAGGGGGGAATGAAGAGCTTTGTATGACAAGGATTAGGAGGCATGTGTGGATTCATAATATCATAGAATCTTAGAGCTAGAAGGGACCTTAAGGGTCATCTAATCCAACTCCCTATGATGCAGAAATATACAGCCACAGTACAATTGAAGGATGCCAATCCAACCTCTGTTTAAAGACCTTTTCCAGGACGGGTTCTGCATTTCATTCAACCTTCTCCCCTCTCCAGGACGAAATGT